TCCCCTTTTGCTTTAGTTCACTCTGATGTTTGGGGTTCATCGCATACAGTGTCTACTTTTGAGTCTAGGTATTTTGTAATATTTATTGATGATTTTTCACGTTGCACGTGGCTATTTTTAATGAAAAACATATCTGAATTGTTTTCTATTTTTGAACAATTTTATCGAGAAATAAGAACCCAATTTGGTTTGTCCATTCGTACCTTAAGAAGTGACAATGCACGTAAATATTTATCCCAACAATTTCAAACTTTTATGTCATCCAATGGTATTCTACACCAAACATCTTGCCCTCATACACCTCAACAAAACGGGGTAGCCGAACACAAAAACCGGCATCTCGTAGAAACCACTCGACTCTACTTCTCCATGGTAATGTCCCTCTCAGATTTTGGGGGGATGTTGTGTTCACGGCGTGCTATCTCATAAATCGCATGCCCTCATCTGTCCTTAATAATAAAATCCCTCATTCAATCTTGTTTCCAAACTCTCCTCTTCACCCAATTCCTCCTCGAGTCTTCGGGTCTACATGTTTTGTGCATAATCTCTCCCCTGGTCTTGATAAACTATCAGCTCGATCACTAAAGTGTGTCTTTCTTGATTATCATCAATCCCAAAAGGGTTATCGTTGCTACTCACACACTCTGCAACGATACTTGATATTGGCCGATGTTACCTTCTTCGAGTCTGTGCCATATCTTGCGTTCACCCAAGTCACTCCGGAACCCCTTTAGAAAAGTACTCCCACACCTCTTCCGGACGTCCCATTTCCCATTATTCCCCATCATTCTAAGGAACATGTCCCACGAGAAACCCCTACGGTTGACCCCCCACTTCTCGCCCACTTCAACATATCAACGTCGTAAACCAACGTCTGTCATACCTGTCCCTGAGGTTGTACCTGTCCCTGAGGTCATTGCAGACTCTCCTCCGACGCTATCGCCATCACCGGATTCGATCCTGCAACCTGAGTCTGATCTTCCGATTGCCCTTCGCAAAGGTATACGTCAAACACGAAATCCTTCTCCACATTATATTGATTTATGTTATCATCGTCTTTCCCCTTTGCACTATACTTGTTTGTCCTCTTTGTCTTCTGTTTCTATTCCTAAATCTCCAGGTGAAGCGTTATCTCACTCTGAGAGGAGGCAAGCAATGATTGATGAAATGTGTGCTCTTCAAAACAGTGGTACCTGGGAACTGGTTCCTCTACCCACTGGAAAATCTTTAGTAGGTTGTCGTTGACTTTATACAGTGAAGGTTGATCCAGATGGTAAGATTGATCGTTTTAAAACTCGCTTGGTAGCCAAGGGATACACTCAGATTTTTGGGTTGGATTATAGTGATACCTTCTCGCCTATAGCCAAGATGGCATCTGTTAGACTTCTTCTAGCCATTGCAGTCATTCGACATTGGCCTCTTCATCAATTTGACATAAAAAATGCATTTTTACATGGTGATCTTGAAGAGGAAGTATATATGGAGCAACCACTTGGGTTTGTTGCTTAGGGGGAGTCATCGAATATGGTTTGTAGGCTACACAGGTCTCTTTATGGTATTAAGCAATCTCCGAGAGCTTGGTTTGGCAGATTCAACACTGTAGTACAACAATTTGGTATGGTCCGTAGTGAAGCTGACCATTCTGTCTTTTATCGTCACTCAGTCCAAGAGTGTATTTATCTTATTGTGTATGTGGATGATATTGTCATAACTGGTAGTGATGAGTCGGGAATACTCCAGTTGAAACAACATCTTTCAAATCAATTTCAAACAAAGGATCTTGGTAAACTCCGGTATTTCTGGGGTATTGAGGTAGCCCAATCTAAAGATGGTTTGGTGATTTCTCAGCGGAAATATGCTATGGATATTTTGAAAGAAACAGGTTTGTTGAACGCTAAACCAGTTGATACTCCTATGGATCCAAGTGTTAAACTACTACCCAATCAGGGGGAGTCTCTATCAGACCGGAAAAGTATAAGAGATTGATTGAAAAGTTGAATTATCTCACAGTAACTCGTCCAGACATTTCTTTTGCAGTCAGTGTGGTAAGCCAGTTCTTAAATTCCCCTTTTCAGGAACACATGGATGCTATTATCCGAATTCTAAGATACATTAAATGTGCTTCAAGAAAAGGTTTAGTGTATGAAGATAAAGGACATACTCAGATAGTTGGATACTCTGATGCTGATTGGGCAGGGTCACCAATTGATAGACGATCCACCTCTGGATATTGTGTACTTGTTGGAGGAAACCTTATATCCTGGAAAAGTAAGAAACAAAATGTAGTTGCAAGATCAAGCGCCGAGGCAGAGTATAGGGTTGTGGCAATGGCAACATGTGAACTCATTTGGTTAAAACAGTTGCTCAAAGAACTTAATATTGAAGAAACAAGACCAATGACACTTGTATGTGATAATCAAGCTGCATTGCACATTGCTTCAAATCCAGTCTTCCATGAAAGGACCAAACATATTGAGATAGACTGTCACTTTGTCAGAGAGAAGATTGAATCTGGCGACATAATCACAAGCTTTGTCAACTTCAATGATCAATTGGCAGACGTGTTTACAGAATCTCTGCGAAGCCCCAGAACTAATTATATATGTGACAAGTTTGGTGCATTTGACTTATATGCTCCAGCTTGAGGGAGAGTGTTGATATTTATAAATATATAATATTAAGAATATTTGTATGTAGAATAGTCCCACATCGATTATATAGTGTAATTAGTTGTAACCTCTCTATATATAATAAATTCTCCGTAGTGTTTTCATAACGTACGTTTAACCTAAATGTCTCTTAGTCTCTCCTAATTCAATAAAAACTATATTAATTTTTTTATCAAATAATATAATACTAATTCTATTATAATAGTAGTCTCCACAAATATTTTTCTCCTCTAGTTTTTATTTTGGTTTTAGTACTTGCAAGTATACAATTTTTGCATTTTATCCTAACTGTTTTGTTTTAGTTTTATGCTAGCATTGTCCTTTTAGTATGTAGACCATATTCATTTGAGTACCCCAAATATGGACTATATAAATACTAAAATTAATATTAGCCAGATATTTCATAGACTAATTTTATTTATGATAAATAAATATTATATGGACTAATATGGACTAAAACAGAGAAAAAGTATAGAAAGTGAACGGTATGTTTAAAGAGATTACAAACGGAACCAAAAAAAGGTGTGTACATATTGTTAGATCTTTCATGTTTCACAGCAAACCTCCAATACAAGATCTAATTAATATGGTTGAAAATTCCAAATTAGATGAGATACAACTTGAAAATATATTTAGGGAAATGCTAACGAGTGTCTCTGGAGCACCCTTTAAGACCTTAAAATAGTAAAATTTTTTGGAAATCTGCGTATTTACTGCCTAGGAAATTGAAATGGTTAAATTTTCTATAAAATATTTTCTTTATTTGGAATGCTTAGAGAGTGCCCTGGGATACTCGTTAGCAAGATCCATATATTTATACATGGGAGACTTCTCTCACTAAGAAACCAGTTTTGTAGGATTAAGATGGTATAGAAAAATTATATATTTTATGGACTTAAATTACATTAAAGCTTATTAAACGATTAGTTTTGCAAATGATATAGTAACTATTTCTGTGTAAACTGTTTTGTTTCTTCTCATGCAGGCGACAATAGAGCTCTGCAGAGAATAAAGATTGGGAGAAAAAGTCTCATGGTCAGTATCGGGGAAAAGGATAGGGGCCAATTTGGAGATGAGACAAGGAGTAGGGGAGTACTCACAGCTCACATCTTGTCTCATGGTCATTGTTTTGATATTTTATGATGGAATAGAACAATATTGCTATTCAACCTATATTGGAGAGTACAAGATAAGTGATGGAACGGAGTGAAATAGATTCCATCATGTTCCGTTTCACTCTATCATCTGTTTATCAATTCTAATAATGGAACATAATCTTATTACATCTCATTCTATCTTATTCCATCAATCTAAACATAATATAACAGACTCCTTATTTTTTACGCTCTTGAGTGTTTTAATTTACGATATAATATCTTTCAGAAAAATAAAAAGGAATTAAAAAAATCACTTTCTTGAAGTTGTAGAGCAATAGAAAGCTTACATAAAGAAAAACATGGAAAGCTCTTATGCACTGCTTCGTTCTGATAAAAGAAGAAAAAGTGTCTCCTCCCTATGTTAACAAATAATAGCAACAAGATAGTAAGTCAAATCAATGGGTTAGTCCATAAAATTCAAAAACTGGAATGGATAAGAAGAAAATTGTGTAATAAAAACTGCATGCAATTATCATCATAGTTATTACAAAATTTAAGTGAAGATAAAGACAAAATTTAAGGGAGAAAGAAGCCAAAAAAAATCTAATATATGTACCCACAGATCCATCTCCTAGTTATTACAAAATTTAAGTGAAGATAAAGACAAAATTCAAAGTGCCTAAATAAGTGGCGCATAACATTAGATTTCTGTTTCAAGTTTTATCAAAAATTAAGTGAAGATAAAGACAACTCAAAGTGCCTAAATAAGTGATGCATAACATTATGGAAATCCAGCAATATCCAGAAATCTCCAGTTTGTCAATATTACAAATATAGATAGATACTTGCAATCGAAAGATGCTACATATATATAGTTCTTGATTCTTCCCACTTTTATTTGCCAAATCATAAGTTTTGTTTTTTCCCTATCTTGCCATTTTCACAGTTAATATAAACTGCAAATACAGCAATTAAAAATTCGCCTTCAGCTTAAAAATGCAAATGAGAAAGCCTGAACAAGAGAAGAAAATGCAAGTGTAGACTCTTTTATATGTATAAATAAACTAGAAGGAATGTGCTTTTTTTATATAAGGAATGTGAATGAATTGAATCTAGCTAAAAAGGTTTCAGTAGTTAAGCAAATAAATGCAATAGCTACTGAAAGGTCAAGAAAATAAGGGGAAGAAGAGAAACAAAAAGTGAAGAAGTGTTTGTAGAGGTTATGGGTACCTTTCTAATGAAGAGATGATAAGATTATCTTTGGGACTTTACAAATTTTGTCCCAAGTTTCACCCGTTTGTCTCTGGCATTCTTCAACTAAGAGGGGACATCCAATGATTTCTAGGGTCTGTAAGTTGGTTAGACTGGACATTCTGTTGGGCAGTGATGACAAATTGATGCAATCATGCATCTTCAGGTGCTGGAGCGATGAGAGGTTGCATATCCAATCAGGCAATGCATTGATGTCTTCACAATTATGAAAGGCAATTATTTGTAGAGAAGGAAGACACTTGATGTTGTTCTCAAACCAAGTTTCTGTATCCTGAAATGCTTGACGTGAAAAACAATTAATTTGAAGAAGCTGTAGAAAAGTAAGATTTTTCATCCAATCCTTTGGGATGCTTTTCACATCCAGGCTCACTCCATCAATATGCAAGGATTTGAGCATGGAAAGAGCAGGGAGGCCATTCAATGCTACTTTGTTCAGTGTTGCTACCAATGTTTCCGCACTACTATCATACAATTCCAATCTGTTCTCAAGATTTGGAAAGGTAGGCATGCAAGTCAACTTCAGACATCCTATGATTGATAATTGTGACAGACGAGGAAAGGGCGGCAAGGAGAGATTTTGTGAACAGTTAGTATTATTGAAATCATCACCGATCCTCCACCATCCTCTCAACTTGTAACAAAACTGCAATGAGAGGCTCTTTAGAGATGGAAAGAATGCTGAAGAAAAATCTTGTTCATAATATATGTACTCCAGTTCTTCAAGGAAACCTATATGAAGTGACTTAAGGAATGGGAGACGCTCCAACGGTGGGAGAAACTGGAGACTTCCACACAAAAAGAAAGATGTTTCAACAATATTTGTCAGCGGAGAAAGCCACTTTGAAAAATTCATCCTCTTATGCTGCCAAATGCTCAGTTTTACAAATCCAAATGGTGTCCTGTCTCTGGAGGCTTCCCAATCAGAGATGTAAAGGTGTCTCAAATTGATCAATTTTGATACAACCTTTGTAGAAAGCTCCACTTTTTCATTAGGTGTCAACGTTAGTGTTTGTAACAAAACAAGACTGCTTAAGGATTTGTAAAGACTTCTCAGTCCTCTACAGTTGGACAAGTTAAGATATCTTAAATGATTCATTTTTCCAATTGATCTAGAAGACTTGCTTAAAGAACAATTTGACAGCTTCAAGACACGCAACTGTTTGAATTTTGAAATGACTGACAATTTATCCTCATTCAATTCCTCCTCATTGGAAGACAGCAAAATCAAAGTTCGCAACCTGCTTCCATCTAATGAGTCCAACAAATGAACTGCATTGGGTTCCAACGATACATGCATGGGTCTTTGTACAAGGCTTTTTGTCTCACTGTCCAAGTAACAACAGTCATTGCCAGCTACCTGCACTGCAAGATGATGCATTAAATCATGCATTTTGAAACTAACTATATCACCATCTCCACCCACTTTTGCATCTTGGAAAAATGACCTCATCAAGAAAATCTTCACAAATTCTTCACCAGTGTCTTCCATGAGTTGCTTTTCGTCTGAGCATTGAAGATAACCCTGTGCCATCCAAAGTTGAATCAATAGATCCTTCTCGATTTCCCAATCCTCAGGAAATAAAGAGCAATAAGCAAAACATTGCTTTAACCGAGGCGACAAACTTTGGTAGCTCATTTTCAGGATTGGAAGTATGATGCTTTCTCTGTGTTCGCCTAATTCCGAAAACACTCTTTGAAAGACATCAATCCATTCTGTTTCTTCATTTTTACTCTGTAATAGGCCTCCAAGTGTTCTAATTACTAGTGGAAGTCCCATGCACTTTTCTGCTATTTGTTTACCAATTGGTTCAAGTTTTTGATCCACTCCATTGGTTTCATTCCTGAATATCATTTTCTTTAACATACTCCAAGATACATCTAGAGTCAAACCACTCAATGAATAGAGGTTGCTAGTTTCCACACTGCTATCACGAGTTGTCATTAAAACCTTACTATCTTCAGCACCACACATCAAATAAGTTCTCAATTGAGTCCATTTTTGATTACTAGCATTCCAAATGTCATCCAAGACTAACAAATACCTTTCACCAGCTAAATTTTCATGAAGTTTCTGTTGTATGTATTCAATGGATGACTTATCATCAATTTTTCTATCGGTTAATGACTCCAACATTTTCTTCACAATAGTCTTGACATCAAAGTTACGAGATACACATACCCATATTTTTTTTTCAAAATGATTTTGCACTTCCACATCATTATATACGAACTGAGCAAGAGCTGTCTTCCCTATACCTCCCATACCAACAATAGCAATTGAAGATATATTTCCACCTGGTTTTCTCAAGAGATTTATAATCTCCTTTTTATCATCTTCTCTTCCAGTGATATCCGATTCTAACAAAAACGAAATGGATTTGTTCCTTAAGCTGTCAGTTTGCTTAATCACCGCAGCTTTTGGGCTTAAATTCAACTTAGTCATTTCTTCCACCACATCATCAAACATTTTTTTTATTTTTTTAAATTTAGGAACCAATGTTCGGCGAAGATAAGTATGGTTTGAAGATAATGAACGAAATACCCGTGACATATTTTTCTTATCACCTGCATTCACTTTGTATCTCATACCTTCAATAATAAACTCATCTAGTAAGTCATCTGCAAGATGAAGCACGTCGTCTGCAAGATGAAGCACATCTTTGAGCCTTCTTATCCAACCTTGCACAATATAATATTGTTCATGTTTCTCCTGTGCATCAAGGAGCACAAATCTTAAGCATTCAGCAGAGTTCTTCAGTTTTTCCAACTCATCCATAACACCATAAATCTGTCCATTTTCATGAAAGGCTGCTGCAGAAACCAACCTGTTAAAACAAAAACAAAAATAGTACACTAATTAATTGTTTTCATTTTGGCCCTTCTCGTCTTTTCTTTTTTTTTATAAAAATGATAACAAATACTTCTATATACTATATATGATGACAAATCTCACACACATCTAAAAGGATTAAACATGTATTGAAGCAATGTTATCAATGAAAATTGAAGATAATAATTTTGATTAGGATATTAACTCTTTTAATAATAGATTGATCAATGAAATTCAAATACTATCATATATGTAGCGGTGTCGATGTCCTATGTTTTTGACATTATGGTTGTCGTAGTGTCCGTGTCGTGTAGTGTCCCGGTGTCCGTGCTTCATATATTTTAAAATACTACAATCAAATGCAAAACAGTTTGTCTACCTTTTGTTGACGTCAAGAACATTCATCAAAACCTCTATCTCAACAGCATTCTCTGATTGATTCAGAATTTCCTGGTATCTTTTACTTGTTTCATCCGTATCTTTTTTATAATCACGACTCCAGAAACCACCTTTGAACATAGGACCAACATCATTCATCAGACCATCTTTCTCATCGGCAGAAACATCCATATTAATTGACTGGTCATATAATAGATAGACAGCTACCTCCTTAACAATCAACCCATGCCCAAAAGCTACAAATATCTCCACATTGTCACCAGGTCCTAGATTTGATGCTACATTCTTCCAATCTTCATCGTTAGAGGACATTATTGTATCTTGCTTGTATGTATGAACAGTGAATTTAGTGTAGTTAATTATGATAACACTGGCGAGACATTCAGCTGCCATGTTTTCAGATGTTGACGAATAAACAACACATAAAGTTATTCCCTTCATGCAACAATCACTAACCTCAGGAACTTGAAAATGTACTGAAGATCCTTCACCTCTATAGGCTAACCAAGAAGGATAATTGTCCCCCGGAAGGAAATATTCACCAGAATCATTGATTGTTAATCCCTGTATCAAGAGCATATGCTAACTTAATTAAGTACTTATACTATTCAAATGGACTTTTTGTAAATGTCAATCCCAATTCCAAAAGGTTAATATGTTTAAGAATATAACTGTGTGCTGCATAAAGAAAACTATAAACTTGGAAGCTAGTCAAAAGAACTGATATGCTCTCAGGGATACCTTTTTTCCCATTAAAAAAAATTGTTTTTCAACTTGTAATGAGTATGTTAGAATATAAAATAATATCACATTAGAATACATTTAATATCTTAGAATATCTTTGATACCATGTAGGGGTCTTAGTTCATATTCTAGGATCAGTTTGTAATCTTAGAATCTATTTATAATTTATTAAAATAGAGTCACAAATCCTATCATAGCCACTTCATCAATTTTGTGTCATATATTCCAAAAAATTTCATTTAAAAACTAAATCTTAGGTGGCACCTCTCAAAACACTCTCAAAACACACGTGACAATCTTTCTTCTCTATTGAGTTTATTGATTAACTATCACCCATATAATCGTGTTTTCATTTTTCCTTTAATATTTTTCTGTTACAAAATTAATAGATTTAATCAAAATAATTGGTTTTCTATTCTAGACATTCACCTATTCTTGCTTGATTAAATTAATCTAATAGATCTAAAAGAAACAATTCTCACCCCCCAGCCCCTAATGTTGTTTCTACTCCTCTTACTTGCTATACTATGAAACGTCTCATATTTAGATTGGTGTCGTCATGGTTAAGTTAAACATCCAATTCCTCTTAAATTTATACAAACTCATTCCAAAATTGCTCATATTTAGATTGCTGTCGTCATGGTTAAGTTAAACATCCAATTCCTCTTAAATGTATACAAACTCATTCCAAAATTGTTGTTATTCAAATGTAATCCATGTACACTCGGATTGAAGGTTGTAAGAATAGACAGGATAAGATTAGAATGATAATATTAAAGAGAATGTTGGGGTAGCACCTATAGTAAAAAAGATGGTAAAAAATAGATTTCGGTGGTTTGAGCATGTAGAGAAAAGATCTGTAAATTATATTGTAAGGAGAGTAGATTAGATGGAGAGGAGTCAAATAGCTAAAGATAGAGGAAGATCTAGGAAAATTATAAGATAAGTTATTAAGAAAGATCTCGAGATTAATAATTTAGATAAAAGCATGGTCTTAAATAGAACATTATGGCGGAAGTTGATCCATGTAGCCGACTACACTTAGTAGAATAAGGTTTGGTTGTTGTTGTTTTCTTTTTTACATTTGTTTATCTCAACTGTATTTTAAGTTGATAATGTATGTTTTCCTTACTTTCTTGAGTAACTCTCACCCATACAATCATGTTTTTATTTTTATTTTAATATTTAAAATATGCGGTTTTCTTTTCTGGAGATCCACTTATTCTTGATCTATTATTTCAATTCTAAGAGATATCCAAAGGAAACAATTGCCACCTCCCAACCCACAAAGTTTTTACCCTTATTTCTTTATCTACTAGAAAAACATCTCATATTTAGATTGATATCGCCATTGTTAAGTTAAACTCTAGATTCTTCTTAAATTTCTATGATTTGTACACAGGAAAAAAAAACCTCGACTTTGTGTCTTTAAATAAACTATTTTGCATAATTCATGATTTTTTTTTACAAGTGGGAAAAGGAAAAGAAAAAAAAAAGAGAAAGTTATCTAGAAAATAAAGTCTCACTAGCATCAACTAGCAGGAGAGTGATTATTCCAATAGAAGGCTCCCGCAAAAGATCGGTACACCGCATCATTAGCAGCTTCATGTTTTGCAAGATAGTCGGCACAAGCATTCCCCTCCCTAAGAGTTTGAAATATTTGAACTCGCTATTTCCTAGAGAGAAACTCTTTAATGTGGTGAAGAATCAGTTAGACTACTAGGAATCAAAATAGAATGTGGTTGTTCTATTCTGTCAATTCTGTCAGTTACAAGCATATGAGCAGCCTTATTAAATGTTATCTGTAGCAGTTAGAGAGTCTAAGAGCAGCCATTAGAATTATTAGAGTAACAATTATTATTATTAGGAGCAGTTACAAAACTTAGGTAGAATAAAAAGGGAAACAAAACTATGTTCTAGACAGGCTGAAAATTAGAAAAAGGTTATATTTGGGAGGGAGAGACCAAGCTCTCGAATTCTTGGAAGGGAGAGAACCAAGACTATCGAATTTCTTGGAAACTCATTGTAATTACTATTAAACTTTATTGTTTAATAATGAGTTTCTATCAACTGGTATCAGAGCACTTCTGATCCGGGAGAGAAACATAAAAAAAAAAAATGGAGTTGTCATCAAGAATGGAAGAAATGTTTGACCTTGTTGATGAAGTGTTGAAAGAAATTAGAGATCGGAGAAGAGAACTCAGAGTTACAAATAGAAATACCAATCTTTGAAGGAATGGATATTGTTGGATGGATGATCAAGGTTGAGAAATATTTTGAGGCAGGAGGTATATCAATCTTTGAAGAAGATCAAATACCAAGAGTTGCGCAGTGGATGAGTGGTAAAGCCGTCACATAGTATCAATTATGGGTTTTGGCCAATCCAAGTGCAACTTGGAGAAATTTTAAAGAGGAAATTCTCAAGAAATTTGGGCAGGAATCTGATTCAATAGAGAATGAAGAACCAAATGAGTGACCACCACCAGAATTGTTAGACCAATATCTACCACTGTCGAAATCACCAGACATCGGGTTTCACATGGTGTTTATTGCTATTTGTAAGGTAAATTCTAGGAACAAGAAAGCTACACTATCGTTATTGCCATCGCCCCAACAACCTTTCACTAGAGGGCTGCTGGTAGCAAGACAATTTGATCCAGGGGGGATTTTTATATTTCATGTACAACTCAATCCTTCTGCTTCAAGTTATGGGATCCGGGAGAATGTATTTTTTCTCCAGTGTATTTTCGTTCACCTTGACGACATTATTAGGAATCAAAACAGAACGTGGTTGTTCTATTCTATCAATTCTGTCAGTTACAAGCATATGAGCAACCTTATTAAATGTTATCTATAGCAGTTAGAGAGCCTAAGAGCAGCCATTAGAATTATTAGAGTAACAATTATTATTATTAGGAGCAGTTACAAAACTTAGATAGAATATAAAGGGAAACAGAACCATATTCTAGGTAGGCTGAAAATTAGAAAAAGGTTATATTTGGGATCAGCCACCAATAGGTCTCCCTTCCATCAAATCTTGGAATCAAATCTACATCCATATTCATGCCAAAATTTCCAGCACACCGACAAAATCTCTTTTGGATCAGAACTGCTCTGATACCAATTGATAGAAACTGGTTCTTTTACCAAATAAAATTGGGACAATTTCTGATATTTATTGGTACAAAACAGAAATAACACAAACACAATGACAGGGACCAGTTTGGTTCCTTCCAAGAATTCGAGAGTCTTGGATCTCTCCCTTTCCAAATGTTCGAGAGTTAGGTCTCTCCCAATAACCACTCACTAATTCCCAGATGATAAACTCCCTAATGTCTTCCCCTATTTATTCTAAACCTAAGCGCACTTAATTAATAGTATAATAATTATAATAATTACCCACTAACTCTCGTAATAATTTAATAACAGTTACAGTAATTGAAGAGTCTAACAATACTCCCCCCTAAAGATTCACCTTGTCCCCGAGGTGAAAGAAATACACTGTAGGAAAAATGTATCCTCCTGGATCCCATAATTGAAAAATAAAGGTTGAGTTGTACATGAAATAGGAAATTTTCTTGCTAATGGCAGTTCTCTCGTGACCAGTTGTTGTAGCCACATAGGCACCGATAGTGGAAATTTCTTGTTGCTAAACTTTATCTTAGGAATAGTAGCAAACACGGAAAATAGTGAGTCTTTTGCTTGTAATGAAATAGCCAACTCTCCGTCATTCCTCTGGGCCTCTGCTTCACTGGCATCCATCAATGAATATGTATTTTTCACTTCCTCACCCTCGCAATCAGATTTGATATCCACTTTACAAACTTCTTTTTCACTATATTGTTGGATTTGCGAGTCTTCAACTTTACCACCAATCTTTTCTTCAGTTGGAGATGATATTGGTTCTTGAATTTCATCACTGTCTTGGATTTCATGTGTTTCGTTTTTAGACTCCAGTAGACAATCCCAAACTTCTGGTTGAAATTTCTTGAGAATGGCATTTACAAAATTCCACCAACAAATATTTGGATGACTCTCTTTCCAAGAAATCCACCAATCAAGAGCATCTCCTCTCAATGCAAATGCAACAGCACACTCAAGCTTCATCTCTTCACTCATTCTTCTTGACCCAAAATATTGCTCGGCCTGGATGAGCCACCAATAGGCCTCCCTTCCATCAAATCTTGGAATCAAATCTGCAGCCATATTCATGCCAAAATTTCCAGCACACCGACAATATCTCTTTTGGATCAGAACTGCTCTGATACCGATTGATAGAAACTGGTTCTTTTACAAAATAAAATTGGGACAATTTCTGATACTTATTGGTACAAAACAGAAATAACACAAACACAATGACAGGGACCAGTTTGGTTCCTTCCAAATATTCGAGAGTTTTGGATCTCTCCCTTCCCAAATGTTCGAGAGTTGGGTCTCTCCCAATAACCACTCAGTAATTCCCAGATGATCAACTCCCTAATGTCTTCCCCTATTTATTCTAAACCTAAGCACACTTAATTAATAGTATAATAATTATAATAATTACCCACTAACTCTCCTAAAAATTTAATAACAGTTACAGTAACTAAAGAGTCTAACAGAATCGCGCATAGTGATGTCAAACGTTATCAGACTCTGAGATAAACTTGATAGTAGAGTTGGAGTTAGAATAACACATCAAGTATTTGATGCCAAGTTCCCAGGCCTTCCGTATTCCATGATATAGCGACATCGGCTTAGCATGAAGGATGTTAGAATATCCAATATTGCCCGCAAAATCTAATCAATCCACCAAAATCTGAGATGCCGAGATTACCTTTTTGTGCATTTCATGTAATCGTTCTTGTTGGATGATTATGTTTGGGAAAACATTTAGCTAACATGACAGTTAAACATGGCGGTTTTTAGACTCGCCGCAATGGTAAATTTCAGCCGGTATTGCGGGTTTTTCTGCTATAATGGGGGGATTTTTGCTCTCCGCCATCGACTGCCATCTGACATTGACTACACTGTTCAAAACAAAACAAAAACGGAAACATAGAAGAAGTCAAAAATACGCATCACCTAACCGAAGACCCGAGGAGAGAACACCAAACAGCCTCCCAAACGAAGAAGGAAAAGACACTACTACCATGACCTGGGACTTAAATCCTTCAAAACAAACTATCGATGCATGCACAAATCAGCATTCACCGACGATCATCCATGGTGACTCTTTTCCCACAAATAAATCATATTGGCGATTACTTTTTTTCCTGTTGTTCGTCATTTTGAAGGTGACTTTTGTTGTTCATTATAACTCATGCAAACCCAACACACTTCGTCTCAAATGGACTAACCTCGGCCTTCCTCCTTTTATCTATAACCCATAACTTCAATAGGGTTAGTGCCCATTTTCTCATGTTGGTCCACTCGCCTTTCATATCCTCTATAAGATTGATCTATAATTATCACATCATTCAATTTCTAAAAGGGTTTTATCATCAAAGTAAGACTTGAAAATGGAGGCATCTTCTATTATAGCTTCAGAGCATTCTTTGTATTGTGTCCTCTATTTCCTACTGACTCTACCACACAGCCATATGTTTCAATGGCTGCAAGTGCACCTTCAGACATGTTTCCTGTTTTCTTTAGTCGTTGCATTTCACTCATCATTCATTCATTGCATTCTAAAGCTGATTTGGGTTTTAGTATCTCGACTGCAAGTATTTTATAATTTTTATTGAAGTTCTAGAATATTTTCGGAAAGCACTACATTTTTAATTCTTCTAGCAGTCGTACTAAAGACAAATTTAGGAACTGGTTCATAGTGATCTTTGGATCTCCATCATTGTTTCAGTTTTTGCTTTTCTTTATTAACTATTTATATCCTTTATTTATTACTATTGGTCTGTCTGATTTTGGGTGATAGGTGATAAACTCCAAGGTTTTCCTTGTTTTCAACAGTTTAAATCACATGTTAATTGACAGATTAATTGTTTCCCTGTTGAGGTATTATTTTTTCATAAACCTACATATTGTATTCTATTTAGAGCTTGGTATACTTCATAGATTTCTCATGTCTTTCTTGCTCAAAAAATCGTGGTTTAACAATAATGTCATAGTTTATCTTTGTACACAATTCCTCCTACAGTTCTATGATCTTACTGCTCTATGTGAATGAAGTTTTATTTTATTACGGTTGCAGCCAACACATAAATCAGAAACATAGATAATACCACTATTTATTTATTTATTTATTTATTTTCTGTTACGTCTTCTCTTTAAAACATTAGGAGCTGTACAGTTGTCAGTTATGTAAAATATCTTGTTTGCTTTACTCCATAGAGTCGATTCTCGCAGGTAAATCAATTCTTCCTGATCAGAAAATAGTAATGGTGTAGTAACACTCACTGTGGGCGGGTTCCTACTAATATTGAGAGTAAAGGAACAAGTGAACAACAGACATTAACAGTTTAATTATTCACTAGTTATAAAGAACAATCTAGCAATCTAGTCATTGTGTGATAGTAGTGATATATAATAACACTAAAAAAAGGATTTATAGACAACTAATCTAAAATATTGAGAAGACAAAACTGCTTAGAAGTAAAGCATTGAGGTGTATATGCTAATATTATAATAGATAAAGGTTAGAAAAGCCAAGAGGATAAGGAAGGAACCTGTGATATGCTCTTGCTAAGAGTATTGATAACCATGTAGAAACTTCCCATTCCAATCAAAAGTGATCTCAAGGAATGATTTGAGATTTGTGGTGCATGTGATGTTTCCACTTCGGTAAATCTAACATCATATTGATCATCAAGAATTCTTCGTAACTCTTGAGTAAGTTGAATCTTTGAGCGGAATTGTACCCCAATTATTCTCAAATGTAAAAGGCTGCTAACTGTTGGTGATAGAAAGCCCAAGTTATTTTTCCGTACATCAATAGAAGCTAGATAATATGTAATGTTCCTAAATGGGGAAATACATGGAAGAGAGCTCATGGTCGGTGACATCCAAGACCAAATGATAGAGGGAAAAGTATCGCGTGAGAATCCTTCATATCCACATAGGGATATATAACGGATTCTTTTTGATATTACTATTGAAAAGGGCACCTTTTTAATAGCTGTATTGTCTGCAATCAGCATGGCCAAAGATTCCATTTGCACTATGTCTTCTTCCAACTTGTCCAGCTTCGAACAACCAGAAAGGATGAGAATTTCCAAAGATTTCAGTTGATAGATCTTCTTTGGAAGATGGCTAAGACCTGTACAGTCCTTCAAATTTATCCGAAGAAGATTATTGAGCACTCCAATGGATGGATGTATTTCGAACAAACTTGGACAATCCTTCATAATGAGCTTTTCAAGATTTGGTATTTTTGAAAAGTCGGGAGTGCTTGTCAAGTACTTGGAATGACTCAGATTGAGAATTTTCAGCTTCTCCATCAGCTACAAAAAGATAAATGTTTAAAATAAAAGTTAGAGAAAAATGGAAAATAAAATGGTGGCAACAATTATAAGAATCAACAACTTCTGGTTTCAAAATAAAATGTTAATACTATACCTGAGTTTTATTCCAAACTTTTTTAATATTGCTGTGTTTTAAGTTGATAACAACTAGATTTCCTTGATAAAATTCATCAGGTATATAGTTCAAGGTAAATCCTCGCCAATGAAGCCATCTCAGTTTTTTAGAAAGGTTCCCATAATCTCCATTGAGGTCAACACCGTCGAGTTGTAGAAGTCTGAGCCCGTCCATCTTCTTGAAAGAATAAGTATTGAAGTGAACTCTCCCAGTATTTTCCGACTTCAAAACCAATCCCTCTACAGCTTTTGTTCCCTACATGTGAGGAACAAATAAAAATAATGGGAAACCTTTTTCTTTTGCTAGAAACAAAGTGATTTATGAAGCTATAGAACTGCAGCCTAAGCAAACTTGTAAGGAACATAACAAGGCAAAACAGTTCAGAAACAAATAGAGAGACTTATAATCTTGATAAGGGTGATTAAAGTTCTTACAGAATTTGTGGTCAAAATATGAAGTGCATCCTCATGAAACCACAATCGACTACGCTTCCCAGGCTTTGTTGAACTTTCACGAGCAATTTCTCTTCCCATGTTTCTTATTAAATCATGCATTCCAAGCTTGTAATTCTTATCAATTTTTACAAGGTTCCGCTCTCCGAGGACGCGTATCCCAGTATTAGCCGGAAATCCGCAGCCATCTAGTATTTCTCTAACATGGGATATGTGCTTACCTATAAAGAAACAGCATATATCAAGAAATATATCTTTTTCCATATCATACAAGCTATCATAGCTTATTCTCAATATCTCTTGCACCTCAGGAGTGGGAATTCTGTTCATATTAAAGAGCATATTTTTCCATTCTTCTTTTGGCCGCCCATATAAAGAAGAACCAATGATTTCAAGAGCCAATGGTAATCCTCTGCAATAAGCAACTACTTTCCTCGAGATTTTACTGAATTTATTCTTTGGAATGGGCTGTCTAAAAGCATGCCAGCTGAAGAGCTCAAGGGACTCATTTTCGTCCATTTCCTTCATTGTGCAGACATAGTCCGCATTAACTAGCTTAAGCAGGCGTGTATCTCTAGTTGTAACAATGAATACACTTCCTGGACCAAACAATATAGGATTTGCACATAGCGCTTTCAAGTGTTCAAATGTGGTCACATCATCGAGTACAACAAGTACTTTAGTGCCATGAAGATGATTGATCATCATTTCCCCTGATGCAATGCTATTTATCATCACATTTGTGTTCGTGATATCTGAAAGTAGTTGTCGTTGTAAACGAATAATCCCCTTATTTTCCTCACAAACTTGTCTAACATTTCTAATGAAACTCCTGTTGATAAAATTCCCACGAATTTTATTGTAGATGGATTTGGCTGTGGTTGTCTTACCGGATCCACCCATTCCGCATATCCCTATCAAGCAAACTTGGCTTGATTGATTTTCTATAAAGTCAGTCACTTGTTGCACATAGGACTCCAGTCGAACTGGAAATGAGGAAATAAACCAAGATTCAATTACTATCATTCTTATAACATCCTCAACAATTAGCCGCACTTGTTTATCTTGATACCTTGGATTGTAATAATAATTATAAAACCGAGTGAGCAATAGCATACAAGGTCAACAAAAAAGAAAAACCGTAACAAACTGTTTACCTGTAATTGTTGACATGCCAACCAGACAAATTAGCAGCTTGGGTGAGTGCAGTGCTCCAAATTGACAATACGTTATTAATCTTTTCTTCTCCTCCTGAGCGAAAGCATACTTGTTCTGCAGTATCCCTCAAAACTTGTCCAAAATCACCCTTCTGGTGACGAACAACCGAAGGGTTAACATCATAAAACACAGGGACAACAAATTGGCCAGTTCCGCGGCAATCCATAACTTTTTCCAACTCATTAAGACACCGACTAGATTCTGTATAGCTTTTGGAGAAAACAATGATAGATACACGAGCATCTTCAATTGCTTCCAGTACTTCTGAATCCAGATCGGTTCCCTCATGGAAATCGATGTAACAATGGATTCCGACTTTGAAAAGAGCATCGTCGAGATCATAAACGAAAGTTTTGCTAGTGTCTTCTCGATTAAAACTGATGAACACGTCGTGCATCAATCCACGAGAATGGGAGGATAAAGAAGAATGAGAAGGAGAATCCATCAATTCCTTGAACTCAAGTCAACGCTGAGAAGAAAATGTACAATAAAGAGTAACAGGTTTCTTCAACAATCTATCTATCTTGTACAAGTGGTTTAACTTATCTATGGTGGTGTGGTCAATATATTCAAATAATGGATTTCTTTTATTTTTCTTTGATTTTTTTTTTTGGTCTAGTTTTTAGAAATACTATATCTTATCTTAATCTTAATAATATAGAAAATCATCTTATTTGACGGAAATTTTTTCTCTGTCATCGCCTAACCACATTGATGTTAAATCATTAAAAAAAAAAATTATATTACTTATATTGATTTGGTTTCGTAGTTTAGAAGGAGTGTAGCGGTAGAAATATTTAGACTAAGTTATTGGATTGACTCGACTCGTACAGATTAAATAAAAATTGTCATTGTGCTTTATTATTTTCAGACGAATGGGAAAAGAGTGAATAACTCAAAAAGAGGGAGAAAGAGAGAGAGAGAAAGGATTTGAACTTCGACAGGTAGGACAACTTTCATGCCATAGACCAAAGAGAAAGGGGTTGCCCCCGTTGATGTTTGAGTTGAAGTAAGGTAGCCATGGAGAGCAAACAGTAACATCTCATGCCAGTTTTTATATGTTACCACCATCTTTTGCACAATCTTCTTGATATTTTTATTGGCATCTTCCATTGCGCCATTCATCTTGGGTCTGTACAGAGAAGAATTGTGATGCTTGATTTTAAACTGAGTACAAAGTTTCATAACCATAGCATTGTTGAGGTTGGTCCCATTGTCAGTGATGATCCTTCCGAGGATACCGTAACGACAGATGATATTATGCTTGATAAACCTGGTGTTTCCAGTGATTTCTGGTAAACAACCGCTAGTCTTCCAAACTATCGAATAATCTTTCTTACTGTTATTCAATCTCTCTGGTAACTCACAGGATCGACTAGATTGATCCTAGGACTCCTTGGATACTAAGGTTACTCTCACAATCGAACAATTATTCATGGTTGATATTATATAAGTGTTTGGTTTACTTCGATCTCTCTCTACGAGTCTAAAAATGTAGTCAAAATGTATATGAAAACTAAGTTATACGAATAAATGCTAATTGTAATGCTGATTGTAGAGACATATAAAACTGCATGAAAAATGAAGTAAATGGTTTCGACTTACAAAACGTTTAACATAAAAGGTTTCTGGAATGTAGAAGTTTAAAATATGCAAAAAGCGTTTAATGCAAGAAATCTGTAAATGATTTTAAGTAAAAGTATGCGCTCGAAAGTCAATACTTGAAGGTAAAGGTATGGGAAATGTGACAGTTCTCTGAAATATAAAGTGCTCGAAATATAAAGAAAACAGTAAAACGTAAAACTTTGAGAAAAAAACTTCGAAGTGAAAAAGACTGTAAATAAGAAAACTTATAAATGTTGCCTGACAAAAAGAATAGAGAAAAGTACTGGAAATGGTAAAAAGGTTTTCATTAAGTTAGAAATACATGGTGCTATCATACATACATTTCTCTTGCATTCGTTTCCCTTGCCATGTGGTAGTTTGAATGTTATTGAGTATTTTGTATAACAGATATGACACACTGAAATCCTAATACTAAGACTTTTATTTATACTAATTCGACCCTAACGGTCTCGCTACAGGATTATGCCACATTTCGAACATGCAAGACAATGCTTCTTTCATCTTTCCACGTGTCCCCAAATGCTCCAGCACATAACTTTCAAACTTTGAAAGTCCCGCTTCCATTTGAATTTTAAATGCTTTTGGTGTCTCTCTATTTCGAGCGTTCTTCCCAAACACAGCCTCGCTGTTGTTCCGAGACTCCTTTAACTATGTTCCCATAATTGCCGTTCGAAGCTTCACGCTTTGACACCCTTATTCGAAACACTGCTTCTGCAACTTCGAAATATGGCGTTTAATTCCATTTCGATCAGAACGTTTATCTCTTTTGGTTTCTAAATAATATTATCGAAATCTTCAGCCAACAAATTGCCCCTTTAAAATATGTATTTCGATTCCTTTGAGAAATACCTATTTTAAACATCTACACAAGATTTCGATAGGACTTTCGAATCATCGTAACAATTAATGCATTTGACTCCAGTCACATCAATCATAGCACCTTTTGGATTCCTTAACCGCCCAAAGTCACTTCACAGTGTGGTGCAGTTATAAGTAATGATTATTTTTAAATCACGCCTATTACCTATATCAACTTCACGCCACCTCTTCATCACACCAACCCATGATCTCCACGTATCACACCTTTATTCGGTGGATGCTTAAACTTCTCATTATAAAACATCAACTTAATCTTCTTCTTTTCTTTTCACACTCTAAACCTTTCATACTCAGAGTTTTTTTACCCCTCTTCTCTCATAAAACAATCCAAGCTTTCAAACAACAAACATGTCTTCCTCCACTTCATCCCAACTCAAGAAAGTCTCCAAGAAGAAAGGAAAAACTACAGAAGCAACCATGGAGAGTAAAATCATCACCATTCAAGGCCAATCTGCTCTTGCTCCTCAAATGATTTCCAAAAAAAAAAGAAATGTTGTACGCATCACAGGTACTCATCCCTACCCATGTTGCTGGTAAGAGATTAGCCTTAAATGGCCCTCTTACAGTTTTTGAAATATTAAAGGACACCAGGACAATTTTTCCCGTCTGTTATAGCTTCAAACCCTTATTCAACAAAATGGATGCCCCTAGGGTAGTAGAATCTCTTAGTTCAAATAACGTAGAAACTCCAACTGTTCCTCCCAAGGACCCATTTGTTTTGGATTATGTAAAAAGCAATTTTAAGCCATTTCGATCTTGCCCTACTTCTGATATTGCTTATCAAAATTGGTTCACGAAAGTAGAAGCCAAGAAATCCCAACAATGGGAAGAATTAGGCATTTATAACCTCATTAAGCTATCGAAACCTGGATTCACCTATAGCCATCCTCTGCTGTTTGCGTCCCTTTATTTTTGGGATAGTACCTACAACACTTTCCATCTCCCAGGTGGAATGATTACCCCAACCTTCTTCGATATAGCGGCCATTACTGGGCTGTCGCCAGTGGGAGAAACTTATGTTCCTGACAACGAAGAGCACTCAAGCATAATTGACTTCGAAGTCAAGTTAGCCAGCTTTTCCAAATTTATCAGCCATTATCATGCTGAAGGGGACAATGTGTCTGACATAGAGCACATTGCTTTCTTAACCCTGTGGCTGTCTAGGTACGTTTTCTGCAGTAGATCCCTGCAGGTAGCTAGTAGGTTCATTCCTCTAGCTAGGGATTTACACGAAAATCGCAAAGTGTGCCTAAGTGAATTACTCTTAGTTGACCTCTATGAGAGCCTGAGGTCAGCTGTTTCGAGCCTCAAATCCCACACCTCCAAAAACATTCTATTAGCTGGCCCATTTTGGTTACTCCAACTATGGCTAAATGCCATGTTCGAACCTTCCTTATCAACCGCCAACACCATAGATGAGCAAGATTCTGAAATAAGTGATAAGATAGTCGAAGGCACTAGGCTTCGAAGGCTAACTCCTAATGATGACAAGGATGACTTCAAGGTTCAATTCTCGAAGTACATCATGATATTCTCCAAAAGGCACAAGTTCGAAGAGAGCATGGCGCCTTTTGCTTCGAGGGCTCATGGACCTTCTTGGTTCACCATGGCTCTCTCAGAAGCCATCAAGACCAAGGAGATCCAGGATGTATGGAGAGCTTTCTTGCTTCCTAGACTCATCTCTTCAAGGATAACCCCAGCCAAGAACCAAATTCTTCTCTTTGCCTACCAACCAAACTTTGTTTCGAGGCAGTTTGGCTTATGCCAACTGATCCCTGAACCTTTGTTCCAAACTGAGGGTGCCATCACTTCTGGACGAACTTTCAAGGCAAGGGAAGCCAAGATCCAGCAAGAACAATATCAAGGATTCGCCCAATTTGAGCTGATAGCCTTCGAACCTACCCATCTCGCGGCTAAAGGATTTCTGGAGTGGTGGATTAAGTTTTATCAAACTTGTATGTTCGATACACTTACAATTCGACAAAAACTAATTGATGCCTTCGATGTGCAGGTACCAGCAAAGAAAGGTATGTTTACTCATGCCAAAGAGATAAAAGCTTTTCAAAATTATTTCGAAACTACTTACGACCCCACGCGCTTGGACTCCACTGTGCATCAAGCAGCTGAGACCTTGAAGGAAAAATTTAAACAAAAAGTTTCTAAGCTAAAACTTCCTTCAGGGCTGTCACCTGAGGATAGGTATAGGTTGGCATTCGAAATGCATCCACCTAAATTTCCCAGATTACCTACCTCAAAACTGGCTCTGGCTTGGTTTCCCCCATATCCATGGTGGTTTACTTGCAAAGAGATGTTCAAACATCTTCAAAGGAAACCAAAGCCATCTGAGACTGTGACATGGGCTCGATACTGGCTCCATGATTTCCCAGGACAACTTCGATACGACCTTTCTGCCATGTCAATTAAATCTGATCAAGGCACAGGTGCGAACGCTTGGGAAAATCCCAAATGTCTTTTATTTCCCATATCTTTAACCTTTGCTTTAATTGTTTCGATTTTCAGCTATCAGGATAAAGACGACTGCCTCGAAGTCGAAAGAAGGGAGTGCCTCTCAAGCCTCCATTGAAACCACTGATAAAACGACTCCACCCGAAACAACTACTGCTGCTGCAACTACAACAACAACAATAACGCCAACAACAACAAGTGCCCCAATTCCAACGGTAATCACTTAGTTTTTGATGTTTCGAATTCACTCAAGCTTTGTGGTTTATATCTAACTTCGTTAAAATTCGTTCAGACCAACAAGCTTCCTCCTACTACTCCCAAGAAGCGGAAACCAAGCACTACTGGGGAAGACCCCAAGGCTGGAGGAAACTCAAATACTGCTTCGAAGAAGAAGCTAAAGAAAACTACTCCTAAAAGCACTGTTCCGACTAGTGTCTCTGGACTCGTTTCCAGGGATGCTGCTCCCTTACCTAA